CCGGTGGCCTCAGCCTTGTCGGGGCGCCCCCTTGTGGCGGCTCCCGCCCTGCCCTGCTGTTGGGTGTGGAAGGAACAGGGGGTCCCAGGAGGGAACTGGGGTCCTGTCCCCACCCTTGGGGTCATCTGAAGGTCAGGGCATGGGCGAAACCGGACCGCGGAGTCCTGACTCAGGTGAGTCTTCTTTCTTTCCAGCTCTGCGTGGACTCATTAATGGGATGCTTCCCAGGCGCTCAGCATCCCCTGGCCCAGGTCGCTGGCCAGAGTGTGGCAACCACCCCACCAACGCCCGTTAGTTCACACAGATACATCCACGACTCCTGCTCTGCTTGGGTTAGGCCTGTCTCAGCGTTTCCCTCCCCTCCTTGTTTGCAATAAAGATTTAAACTCCTTAACATCAATTTTGCACTTAATGTCACTAACCACAACATTAGAATAATAGTGTTACCTTTTTATAAGAACCAACACATACGTGAAAAGAGCCATTAGTGAAATGGAAATTAAAACCACAATGAGATATCACTGCACATCTAACAGACTGGCTAAAATTAAAAACCAAATGCTGACAGGGATGCAGAGATATTGTGGTAGGAATGTAAAATATTACCACCTCTCTGGAAAACAGGTTGGCAGTTTCTTAAAAATTAAAATATGCAATTTCCATACAACTCGGTGCTTGCACTCCTGGGCATTCATCCCACAGAAATAAACCTGTATGTTCACACACACACATAACCGTACAAATGTTCATAGTAGCTATTCATAATACAGTAGTCCCCCCACACACACCCCGCTTATCCACGGTTTCACTTTCCATGGTTTTGGTTACCCGCGGTCAACTGCGATCCAAAAATATTAACTGGAAAATTCCAGGAAAAAATAAATTCATTAAGTTTTAAATCTCCCTCCATTCTGAGTAGCGTAATGAAATCTCGCACCATCCTGCTCTGTCCTGCCAGGTATGTGAATCATCCCTTTGTCTGGCATATGCGTGCTGTATACGCTACCCACTCGTTAGTCACCTCACAGCTGTCTCCGCTGTCAGATCGACTGTCACCGTGTTGCGGTGCTTGTGTTCAAGTCACCTTTCTTTTACTTAATAATGGCCTCAAAGTGCAAGAGGAATGATGCCAAAGAGAAGCCATAAATTGCTTTCTTTAAGTGAAAAGGTGAGTACCCTACGAGGAGAGATTTTGAGAGACAATATTCACATAAATTTTATTATAGCGTGTTGTTATAATTGTTCTGTTTTCTTGGTTGTTGTGACTGTTCACCTCTCGCTGTGCATAATTAATTCATAAATTAAACTTTATCATAGGTATATATGTATAGGGAAAAGCATAGTACAGTTGGCCCTTGAACAACACAGGGGTTAGAGATGTCGACCCCTTCTCGGTCGAAAATTCACATATAACTTGTGACTCCCCCAAAAAACTTAACTACTAGTAGCCTGTTGTCGACCTTACCGAAAACATAAACAATCGATTAACACATTTTGTATATGTTTTGTGTATTATATACTGTATTCTGACAGTAGAGGAGAGATAATATTAATGAAATCATAAGGAAAAGAAAATACTCTTATAGTATCATACACATTTATTGGAAAAAAAAAAAGTGGACCCATGCAGTTCAAACTCATGTTGTTCAAGGCTCAACTGTATACATAGGGTTTGGTACTATGCGTGGTTTCAGGCATCCACTGGGGGTCTTGAAATGCATTCCCCAAGGATAAGGGGGCACAACTGTAACCAACATCTGAAAGCAATCTTGTGGTAGACAGAATAATGGCCTTCCAAAAATGTCCACACTCTGATCCTTGGAACCTGTGACATATTACTTTACATAGCAAAAGAAATGTGATTAAATTAAAAAAAAAATCTTGAGGGAGGTTCATATCGATCACATACATAAAAGTGGCCACAGTGCTTTGCAGTTCCTTCTGCCAGAGATGAAGTCAGACGACGGTATAAGCAGCCTTGTCAATCGGGCTGTATGACCTTGCAAATCCCATGGAGCTGGAGTTTGCGGTGGTGAATAGAATTACTATAAGGTGTCTCTGCTATGTCCTATTTAGAGAGTCACAGTATAGACCCCTACAACCTTGGAGCAAGATAATACTGTCTACAGCAAAGAAACTGTATATTATTTGAAAAGCGACCCCTGAGCTCTAAAAGAGAACCTAAATGCCAGACCATGGAACATTAAGTGACTGAGACAAGCACTTCCTATTGTAAGGTTCAGTCAGCCAGACGAGACCAAAATGTGACGATCTGGGGAAGAAGCACACGAATGAATCTATATGATTCATTCATGGAGAGGGGACGCAATGTGCAGCTTTTTCTATCCCGTGCCAATACCCCACAATGAGCACCCAGTACAGGGGAGACACCCAACAACCAAGTGAATGAGACGACTCCTCCAGCAGAGGTCCGCTAACTTCTGTCCTTGTCAACTTCCATGCTCACACACTGTGCCTCTGAACAAAGTAGCTGCGTTGGCAGAATCAAAGGCTTTTCATTCACCCAAAAAAACAACATGGGCTCCCTCTTACCAAATCCGATGTAGTTACTACTGCTGCTGAATTCCCGTTCGGTCAGCATCAGAGATCAATGCCAAGTCCTTGATATGCTACATCCCTGAAGGAGACCAACCAGCTATTTGGTTCCAAGATGATTGCATCAACCTCCATCCACCCCGGAGGGCCAGCAATTCATCCTTACTGGGATCAATATGGATTCTAAATTTGTATATATAGCATTGTCTGCCTGGAATGCCTTTGCCAGCTCCGCTATCAGTGGACTCACGAAGAGTCTGATCTACCATCATGGGATCCTGTGTTTAGGCCTAGGTACCTTCTTTTTGGTAAAGAAGGTGCAACAGTAGACACGTGACTCCAGGATCCATTAGACATATCATAAACTTCATTAGACCTATCATAAACTTCATTAGACAGAAGCTAGAGACCTGATCAAATATTGGAATGGCCTCTCTCTTAGTTTTCTCTGCTCTGTGACGAATAATCACAAACGTATCAGCTTAAAACAACACATTTGTTATCTCACGGTTCTGTGGGCCAGGAGTTCAGGCACAGCTTCACTGGGTCTTCTGTAAGGCTGCAATCAAAGTGTCAGCCAGGGCTGGGTTCTCATTCCTCTGGAGACTTGATTGGGGAAGGGTTTGCCTCCAAGCTCAATCAGCTATTGCCTGAATTCATTTCCTGTGGCTGTAGGACTCATGGTTAGCTTGCTTCTGCAAAGCTAGCAAGGTGAGCAAGACACAGAGAGTGAGTATGCTAGCGAGACAGAGTCTTACATGCTGCAGCCTACTCTCAGGGGTGGCATACCACTGACAGAATTAATCAGTCCGGATTCGCTTGTCAAACGTCTTTGATGGAGAAGTAGAAATTATTAGTTTTATTAAATATTGACCTGTTAGTCCACTTTATTTAAAATTTTGTGTGATGAAATAGCATAAAGCATTTCTGCTCTACGAAGTATGATGTTGACTTAAGCAAACGGTCCCACTGTTTGAGCTGGGAGCTGAACTAGCCACTTTCATCATGGGACATCATTGTTACTTAAAAAGGATGACTAATAGTCCAACTATAGTGATTAGACTTGGCGTATTTGACAGACATTTTCTAAAAACTAAGCAAAGTCAGAATCTGCAACTTTAAAGAAAAACAACTGACAGTATTTGTCACCGATAAAATTTGAACTTCGAAGTGAAATTTTGAATTTCGGAAAATTTATATTTGTTCCATGAGCGCAATGGCTTTCCAATAATTAAATACTTTTCTGATAATGGTAGCGGGAAATACGAGCGAATGTGATCGTTGAATATTGTGTAATGAAATGTATCCACATTTGGAAAATCTGCATAACTAAGTGAATCGACATTTTCTAATGCTTTACAAAGTTATGTATGGCTAAAAGATCCATTCAAAGTGAAAGACGGACCAACAGATTTTAATGTAATGAATACAAAAAGTTTCATATTCCACATTGCAGGAAACTACCGCTTGTCAAGTTTTGGTGTATTATAAAACAATTTTGAAAAATTCTCAATTACTTGAAAAAGTTATTAAAATACTCCTCACTTTTCCAACTGTGTATCTGTGTGATACTGTGTTTTCTTCATACACTTCATCCAAAGCAAGCCATTTTGGAAGAGAATGATAACCCAGCTGTCTTTTGTCAAAGGGTGCCATTTACGAAGGAAGTTTAGGGAGCTAAAACAATACCATTCTTCAGACTACTTTTTTCTTTTGTAAATAATAAGTTTTTTTCATGGAAATATGTCACTTATGGTTACATGCACGGGTTTTATTTTTAAATAATAAAATATATTTTTAATTTCTTTTAATTTCTAATGAAGTATATATTGATAGACATAAAACACACATGCCAGCTATCGAGAAGTCTCAAATTTTTTTTTTGAGAATGTAAGGCGATTCTGAGACCAAAGATTCTGAGAACTCTCAGAATCTTCTTCATTTGGGAATAATTTTTTTTTTTTCCTAGCTTCTTAAAGTGAAAGTTTCGATCACGAACTTAAAATCTTCCTTCTTTTTTAAATAAGCATTTACAGCCCAGTGTTTTCCACAGCCTGGCCAGGGCGCTCTGGTGCTCAAGGCCTCACATACCTAGAAAGGGGGGCAGCAGAAATAGGCAGAAAATGGGGGTTGCAAATTGGATGCAATACCCTGACCCCTCTCTTCCAGTCTCTCTCTGTTTCCTCCTTCCCAGAGGCAATGGCTAGCAAACTCAGCTACAAAGCTTCCTGCAGAGATGCCGATGGCTTTGAGAAGCAGAATTGGGAGAGCAGCAGGACCCAGCTACTAAAACCATCCATGGAACTCGCATCAGGTAGGCAAGGACCTCGTCTCTCCTTCTAGGGGTTTTGAAGCATCCTAAACATCGTCCCAAGCTAAATGTGAGATAGGTTCTCTTCAGTGTTCCCACTCTCAGACCGGCAGAGATGAAGAACACACAAGCCACTCTCCAAACATTTATTCAATCGACATCAGAAATCTCCACATCCTTAAAGCCTGGAGGTGGCCACCAGTGCGCTGAGGAAGGGGGTTCCAAGGCTGAGTTGACCCAGGAAGGCCTGTGTGGCAGAGGCGGGCCACGCACTGGGGATGCAGAGGAACTTTTCCCGCCCCAGACAGCAGGGACCGGGTGACACTGCATTCACTCTCTCTGGACAATCACCAAGTTTCAGGAGAGAGCCTGAAGCCGCCCAGGTCTAAGGCTCTTCACCACTGATGATGTCTTCTTCGGCAGGCGTCATAGACGTCCATGAAGCACCGTGCTCCACCGGTGAGTCCGCGGGCCCTCGAGTCAGGACGGTTTCACCTTCCCTCCCGGCAGGCTGGGCACAGCCAAGGTGTCAGCGTGGCCGAGGCAGGTGACCAGAGCGCCCGGGTGGGGCGCCTTCG